ACATTACAATCAACGGATGAGGCATGGGGGGTGGGTTACATGAAATCCATTGGTGATAGATTAGGGAGGCGGGAGAAAGCAAAGCATGGGAATATCAGAGATTGGATAAAGAGTAAAACAGAGACACTTCTTTTACATTGGTGGGTATGGATGATTAACAATTAACATTTACAGCACATAGAGATAGTATGTGGGGTGGGGGAGACAAGGTAACAATGAGGGGTTCTAAGGTCTGTGATCTGGTGGGAGATTGTACCCTGAGGTGATTGTGATTAGCCATGAAACCGAACTACCAATGGGTCCTGGCTGCCTGTCATTACTTGAGCCAATTCAGCAGAGACAGGGTTGAATCATATATGAGCGTTTATTCCAATACTGCCGGCAGTATGGGAGAGCAGCAGGTCATCCACTAAAATCTGCTCTGCCCCCACCATAATCCAGCTGCTTATACTGGGTAGGATGAGGATTATGTGGGGAAGTAGGGATTACAAGCATGGGGAAGTAGACTATGCAGACTGGGGCAGGACTCCATTGTTTGGGCAACAAGGTTATTCATCTTTCCATGATATTAGGCAGTTCTTGAATGAGAATGGACCACATTCCAAGGTTAATTCCCAGGTCCAAGGTTGACTGCCAGGTCCTGGGGGCGTACAACACCCAGCCAGGTTAGAATGCCCTTTCTTTAATCAGAACAGGGCAATCATAGTTAATAGAGCATGATTAATATTTCTTTTATAACTGTAGCTAGTCCCCAATATTCTATTTTTGCCCCTAACACCCTGACATTCCAAAGGTATGTTATAGATGCAAAAAGACAGTAGACAGCTCAGTTAAGGTGAAGATTGACCTTTGTCATGAAAGATACAGGCCTAGGACATGACTACCTGCCATGAACTGCTTTTAGTTAGGAAGTTTTAATTTCAGACCATCCTATGTGGTAACTTTAGGTCTCTGAGTTTGTAAACCCGCCATGCAGGCCTCCCCTGAGCTTGTCAGGTTTAGTATATGGCCCGAGCTAAGTAATAAGCGATCCATCACTCATTTAATAAGGTGTCCTGCAAAACCTAATTGTTATCTCTGAAAGCATTAATCTAAAGATACCTAACTTCACCACAGAAAATATAACAGGTCCAGTCCCAGGGCCTTTAGGAAGACCTGTGTGCTTTTTGTGAAAAGGGGAAGCATTTCTCAGCAGGCAAACAGGAAACATTTGAAGTGAGACTACTTAGCACTAACATTATATTTTTCCTTCAGTTCTACTTGTTTTCTGTGAACAAAGAAACTTGATGCAGTGGCTGAAGCAAAGGATCCTGGTTTAATTACATCATAGAAAAGACCTGGTAAGCTTTTCATTTGCCTTAAAGTACATGGGTAGGAAAAAGAATGGGGAAGATAAACCACCCAAGAAAAGAAATCAGACTATGGTGAGTGGAGAAGAACAAGCAGTATCTAGATATTTAAAAGAGGCAAACTACTTAAAATTCTATAAAAGAGAAACTAGGAACCAAATCACCATTGAATTCATCCAAATTTTGAACATATTCTTTTGTTTTTCTGCTTTGAACAAGGACAGTTTAATCTTTGAAAAATGTCTTTTGACTCTTATAAAGGGATTCAAACCAAACTTTTAGTTGACGTATAATATGTAAACAGAAAAGTGCACATATCATAAATGTACAGCTTGTTAAATTTTCACAAACTCAACACTGATTTAACCAGGATCTAGATCACGGAACAGCACATTAAGAGTACTCCAGTAGCTTCGACCTTTTTCATGAAATAGGTGACAGTATATGTGTGGGTCTGTTTCTGGCCTCTTGAGAACTGACATCTCTACAGTATCGAGTCCTTCAGTCTATGGACATGGTATATCTTTCATAAAGGGAAGCTTTATTTATTTTACTTTTTAAAAAAAATATTTGTATTGATTTCAGAGAGGAAGGGCGAGGGAGAGAGATAGATAGAAACATCAATGATGAGAGACTCACTGATCGGCTGCCTCCTGCACATTCCACACTGGGGATCCAGCCCGCAACCCGGGCATGTGCCCTGACGGGGAATCGAACCGTGACCTCCTGCTTCATAGGTCAATGCTCAACCACTGAGCCATGCTGGCTGGGCCATAAAGGGAAGCTTTATAATCCAATAGTGCCCCTGGAAAATGCAGGAAAATCAAGAAGAGAGAGACCAAAGTTCATTCATTTCGCTGGGATTTTGAGGGCCCCTGTACGGAGTAGATATTCCACTTCACCATATTGTCTAGAAAGGATGCAGAGGTGCTGCTTGGGCTTCAGGGAGTAGATGAATCTTTCATGTGGAGCCTCCAGTTTTCTAGCCACTGATGCTTTCATCATCATCCTCATTGCAGGCGTTCCGTGTCTTCCTCCCTCCTCAGGGCATCGACCATCATTTCTTCCCAATTTTGCTCCAGTTCCTTTGCTGAAAGTTTTTAGTATAACATAGAGTATGGTGCCTTTGGTAGCTTTCCACTATATTTATTTCTTAATTTTTGAAGTATATGTTATTGATTTCAGAGAGGAAGGGAGAGGGAGAAAGCGATAGAAACATCAATGATGAGAAAGAATCACTGATAGGCTGCCTCTTGCACGCCCCACACTGGGGATCAAGCCCGCAACCCAGCCATGTGCCCTGAGCGGGCCCTTCAGTCCGCAGGCCGATGCTCTATCCACTGAGCCAAACCAGCTAAGGCTGGTAGCCTTCCACTTTAGGTGCAGGCCTCTTAGTGAACATTTTCTTCTCTGTTCCAAAGAGAAGCAAAATTTGTCCTTCTCAGGCTCAAAATGTGCCCTTCTAAAATGCATAAACCACGATTTGGTTTTTACGTTTCTAGAGACCATAATAGTTCCAGACATTTTTCTTCCCCCTCAGCAAGATGTAGAACATTTGAAGTCCTATCTCTGTGGAAGTTTTTCAAAAAGTCCTCATTGGCACCATGGCTTCATTAGGTACAAATGCACAAAATGATCTCATGATCCTGGCCTCACAGAAGTACAGGCTGTGTCTGAATTGTACCATAATAAAGATGCTGCTGTGGGTGCAGCTTTCCGCCTTCTAAGAAGATTCTTTGCTCTTGTAGGAGTTGCTGGGTGTGCCTGGAGAAGCTCCAAAAAGGTTAATAAGTGCCTGTGGAAGCAGGAGAGGGAAGATTGAAAGAGAACCCAGGAAATTCTCACAATGGTGCTCGGAAAAGGAGGTGAGTGCCAAGTCTCTAGTCTGCCTTCAGAACAATGTAGAGAAGCACAAACACAGGGAGAGGTGTGGGTGACGCCCCCTGCTGTCAGGTGACTGGCTATGTAATCCACACTTCTTTTCCCAGGCGCTGCCTCTCAGCCTGGGAATGGGAGATAGGGATGTAAAGCGCTCTCACCTGGTCCTGGCAAATGTGAAAAGTGGGCTGGGCTGACTACAGTGGGGCTCTCAGAGCCCCAAAGAACAGGGTCCCTGAAGTCACCATTTTGCTTTAGAAGGTTTATTATTTCACATTTCTCAAAATAACACGCTGAAATTACAGGCACCACAAACAAGATTCAAGCGATGTGAGTCTTTTAATTCAGGCAGAATTTAATGTGTAATTAAGATTAATTATACCATAATGGAATTGTAGACACATGATTATTGCATCACATTCCTTGCAGACATGCATCTTGTCTCGCAGCATTCTGGCTTCTCAGGTTGAGGAGCACGCTGAGAGGCAGAGCCATGGAACCTGACTGCATTGTGCGCGATGTGTTTATTACAAGGTCGCTTTGGAAGTTAATTTTTGCCAGCAATCATTTCAGAAGTGTTTGAAATATGCCCAAATGCGATTGCTTTTAAAAATTCCCATGTTTTGATTTGTTTTGAGAAAAAGTCAGCCTTAAAATACTTCCATTAGAAGTTCAAAGCATTTGTGTGTATCATTTATTAAGTTTAGGACACCACCGAGTGTGTGAAGTGTTTGGGTTATGTGTGAAGGTGAAAATAATTCATTTCTTGGTCATAAATTCAAAATATGGGTGGTGACCTGGCCGGTGCGGCGCAGTTGGTTGAGTGTTGGCCCCTACACCAAAAGGTCTCGGGTTTGATTCCCAGTCAGGGCACATGCTCAGGTTGTGGGTTCAATCCCAGTCAGGATGCATGCAGGAGGTGACCAATCGATGTTTCTATCTCATCGATGTTTCTCTCCCTCTCCCTCTTTCTCTAAAATCAATAAAAACATATCCTCGAGTGAGGATTAAGGAAAAAAAGAAAGAACAAAATATGAGTGGGAGTCTGGAGATGATTTAGAATAGGCCGCTTTCTGAACCAGACAGGAGATGGGCTAAACCAATGGTCGGCAAACCTCGGCTCGCGAGCCACATGCGGCTCTTTGGCCCCTTGAGTGTGGCTCTTCCACAAAATACCACGTGCGGGCGCACACGTACAGTGCGATTGAAACTTCGTGGCCCATGCGCAGAAGTCGGTTTTCGGCCTGAGTCTATTTTGAAGAAGTACTGTTGATATTTGGCTCTGAGTTAAGTGAACCAGTCAGCAGTCTCATTGTGCAGTGGTTAGTGCTAGTCGCGTCCGCAAATCGCGCGTGCGGGTGACGAAACAAGTATACAAGACGAGTGTGGATGGGAGAGTTGGAAGGGGTCGACCTCAGTGAACGTACCTCAATCAGATTGAGGATGTTTTTAGCAAAGGCCAGCTTAGGAGTACCCTAATTAAGTTAATAACAATGTACCTACCTATATAGTTTAAGTTTAAAAAATTTGCTCTCAAAAGAAATTTTAATCGTTGTACTGTTGATATTTGGCTCTGTTGACTAATGAGTTTGCCGACCACTGGTAAACCTTCACAAACAGTTTTGACTCTCCTGTTATAAAAAGACAAAGAAATCCAAAGAAAGAAATTCCATTATACACTATAGTATATTATATACAACAAATGCAACAACTTTGACCTAACAGGCTGGAGGCAGCTCACAACAACTTTGAGTCAATACTTCAGCTGGCCTAATTAGACCTGGAGAGTTTGCTTTGCTTCAGTTTTCTTTGCTATGATTTCAACACTAAAAGGGACTTGTTCTCAAATGTGAGTAAATTCTAGTTTCTTTTATTATGTAATTAATTATATACTTGTTATTATGAAAGTTTTCGGACCTACATATTCAGACCCTTTAAAAAATTCTCTTGGGTTCTAGGGTTGACTTAAGTTATTTTTTTATGTGCTAGTGTAACATCAGCTATAAATCCTTCTGCTTTTAGTTCTTGTGAAACTACAAAGTCAAATCAAGCAACATATATGAAACACCAGCAAACACATACCCATAACGTTTCAATTAACAGTATTAATGTAAAGGATGATGTCCTCTTACTGAACTTTTTTTTAAAAGAGCTATTCTTTTTTTTAAATAAATTTTTATTGATTTCAGAGAAGAAGGGAGAGGGAGAGAGAGATAGAAACATCCATGATGAGAGAGAATCATTGATCAGCTGCCTCCTGCATGCCCCCTACTGGGGATCAAGCTCGCAACCTAGGCATGTGCCCTTGACTGGAATCGAACCTGGGACCCTTCAGTCCACAGGCCGACGCTCTATCCACTGAGCCAAACCAGCTAGGGCAAGAAGCATGTATATTTTTAATTTTGACATTTTATTTATTGGTTGACATTTCATATTATAAAATTATCAAAAAATTTGTAACATATTTCCACCAACAATAGATGAGAGTGCCTGTTTCCCCAAACCCTCAACATCACTAGATATAATTGGCTATACAAAAAATTAAGATTAAAAAAATGTAGTTAATTATGTCTATCTTTTCCTTTATGGTTCCTAGGTTAATTGTCTTCTTCATAAGATCTCCATTGCATTAAGGTAATATAAAACTATCCTAAATTTTCCTTTAGTATTATTCTTATTTGTGTTTATTATACAGCATGAGGTAAAGGTCTAGTTTTGCTTTCTTTTGGATAGTTAGCAATTCTGTCATCACCTTATATTAAATAATTTATCATTTTGGCAAAGATGTAAAATTCCCCCTTTGTGGAATTTCTGCTCATGTGGTGAGTTCTTATATATGTTTGGATCTCTTTGTGAGCTCGCCATTCTGTTCCACTGACTTATTTATCTATTCCTGTACTAATACCAGACTTTATTTTAGTATTTTACAGTAATTTTTAATATTGGGTAAGATAAGCATTTACTATTTTTCCCCTTAAAAAATGGCCTGGCCATCAGTTTGCAGCCATTTATTCTTCCATATGAACTCTAGAATAACTTTCCCTATTCCCAACCCAGTCCCTTAGGATTCTGGTTGAGTTGTATTAAATGTATACACAAATGTATATAAAATGTTTGTATATATGGGTGTGCATATATACATATGATCAATTTGGGAGGAATTAACATTTTAATGATGAGAATATATATGTTTATATGTATAAACATTTATTTATGTATATAAATAAATATAAATGCATATTATAGCTATAATAATAAAAGCACAATATGCTAATTAGACTGGACATCCTTCCGGACGACCTTCCAGATGAAGCTGGGGCTGCGAGGGAAGCACGGAATCCGGGTGCCAGAGGGAAGCTGGTGCCGGCAGCTGGGGGAAGGAAGGCCTACTCTTGCACAAATTTTGTGCATCAGGTCTCTAGTGCACTTACAACACATTTATGAAGAATTGGCATAGTAATGATAAGCCACATGACATTGAAATGAAAGCAAAAGAAACTTGATCTTGGCAAATTTTTTCCTTTTTTTTTTTTTGAGAGAGAAACTGATTGGTTGCCTCATGCAAGCACCCCACCAGGGATTGAACTCCCAACCTGGGTATGTTCCCTGATGGGGAATCAAACATGCAACCCTTTGGTTCATGGGATGACACTCCCATCAACTATGCCACACCAGCCAGGGCTTGGCAAAGCTCTTGCCAAAAATACTCTCCCCTCACCAATGATGCCTAAAACTCACAAAAAATTAAGAGTTTTAGTTTAGAAGAGAAAATTAAAAGATTTGGGTGTGATTGTAGTACAGGTTTGTCTCGAATTGTAAGGGTAAAGTGTTTTTCTGCATGTATGTGAATAAAAGTATATTGGCATATTCCTGTAATGTGTCAGTAATGTATTCCCAGGTGTGCTTGAAAACTTGTCTAGATACTATTAATCTCATTTGTCACACTATAATGTAACCTCTCTGTGTCAAGCTCAGCATACAGATCCTCATTTTCTCACTTCAGGTGGGAGACTTTTAACATGGGTCAAATACCATTACAATGAACTCTGCAGGGATGCCAGATGCTTCCTGTATCATTTGGTGTGTGGATCAGAATCACCTTCCCCCCCTTGCACACCCTATTGCTCACAGGTCAAGGGCTGGGGACACTGCAGCGTGGATGCAGGACCCTCTCAGGGAGCCAGGATTTCTTTCATCAGCTGAAGAGTTTCACAGCTGCAGTTTTTCTAAGGGCCATTGACCTTGAATAAAGCACTCAAGAGTCTTAGGAATTTAGCAAGGGCGGGTTAAGCTGGATTTCTTAGAAAGTGATATGAATGTTCTATTTGTAAGAGATAAAGATAGCCAATATGGGGGGAAGTCAAGGACTCTGAACCTGCAGTGCCTGGATCTGAATCCCGGCTGCACCATTCCTTGTCAGAGCTTGCTTGGATATGTGACTTAAACCAGTCAGTGCCTCAGTTTCCTTATCTGCAAAGTGGAGGTTAACAATGGCACTGAAATCATAGGGCTATTTTGAGATTTCTTTTTTTTCCCCTTAAACATGTTTATTGATTTCAGAGAGGAAGGGAGGGGAAGAGAGAGATAGAAACATCAACGATGAGAGAGAATCATTGCTCGGCTGCCTCCTGCATGCCCCCCACTGGGGGATCGAGCCCGCAACCTGGGCACGTGCCCTGATCAGGAATCGAACCTAGACCTGGTTTATAGCTCGGTGCTCAACTGCTGAGCCACACCAGCCAGGCCACCCTGAATATTTTTAAGTGTATCACAGAGTCACTATCTCAGCATCTTTAAAAGATAAGAACTCTTTATTGTAAAATATATATATAACATAAAATGTACCATTTTAACCATTTTTAACTATACAGTTCAGTGTCATGTACACTCACATTGTTTTTAAAAATATTTTAAAATTACTTTTTGGGGGGCAGGGAGAGAAAGAGAAACAGAAACATTGAGCAGCTGCCTCCTGCATGCGCATAACCTGGGCCAGGAATCAAACTGGCAACCTTTCGGTGAATAGGATGACACCCAACCACCTGAGCCACAATAGCCAGGGCTGTACATCAGCGTTGTGCAACCATCCCTACCATTCATTTCCACACCGTTTTCATCATCCCCAACTGAAACTTTATACCCATTAAACAATAAGTCCCCATTCCCCTTCTCCCCCAGCCCCTAGCAACCACCCTTCTACATACTGTCTTTATGAATTTCATTATTCTAGATACCTCATATAGGTGGTGACATACAATATTTGTCCATTTGTGTTTGACTTATTTCACTTAGCATAATGTCTTTAAGGTTCATCCATGTTGTAACGTGTGAGAACTTGAGTCATTTTTAAGGCTGAATAATATTCCATTGTATGTATATGCCACAAAGATTTTTTTAAAGCATAACTACAATATCATAATCACATCCACAAAACAGTAATTTCTTAGAATCATCAAATATGCATCTGTGCCTAAATTTCTCCAGTTGTGCCATAAACATCTTTTTAAACAGTCTAATTGCTTGAAACAGGATTCAAATGCGATCCATTTTGATCCAGTTTGTTGATATATCTTTTATTTCTCTTAATTCGTGAATCTCTTTTTCTAAATTTCTAATTTGTTGAACTGGATTGTTTGACCTGTAGAAGTTTTCAGAGTCTAGATTTTGCCAAATGCATCCCCCACAGTGTCATTTAACATTTTACTATGTCCCCTGTATTTCTATTAAGTTGGTAAATTGGTAGTTAGATATAAAGGCTTGCTCAGATTCAGTTTTGATTCTTTGGCAAGAATTTTTCATAAGTAGGATTGTATGTAAGAGGCATGTCATATCTGGTAGTTTCTCTTTCTGTAATGTTAGCAGTTAATGGTCATAGTTATAGGTCCATTAATTCATTAGTGGATATTCTAATTCTGTCATTCTTTATTTGCTGGAATACTTCTATGAAGAGAGATTCTTTCCTCATGCACTAGTTTCTTTTACTCTGAGGTAGACTTTGTAAAGGAAGTCAAAATAAATGCTTGTTCCTTTTGCTTTATTTTCATACAAATGAATTGGTTCCCTTGCATTCTACAAAGGTGATCAGTGAGAGTTAAAATTTTTGTGTTTTTCATTTGAGTAAATTTATGAACTCATACATTTTCTAATATTTGATGTATTGAAACCCATTCCATTGTTATTCTTACTGATTTTGAAATAATCCCCTCTTTGGTCAATGTGACACTTATTTTTTTTTTTCAGTTGAAACCATTGAAGTGTATTGGTGGTCACAATGCTTTACACTGTATGCAGCAAACACCCTTACAAGTCTATCCGCAACCTGATCACACAAGAAAGGATTCACCACTCGCCAGAGAAGGAAGAAAAAAATTAATAGGTTTGTTTCTAGAGGTAGAGGAGAGAAATGCAAGAAAAACCTACTTGGTGAATGTCCAATGGCAAGAGTTGAACTAGAGATGCATACAACTAACAGCAACATTGTTGAAAAAGTACAGGGCAAATAGCTTTCTCCATTGATTTTCCTCTGTAGGTTGATTTTTTAATATTCAAAACATTTATTATGGTTTTCATTTTATAAAAATGTATATTTTTAAGGTCATGGGAGAATGTTAAATACTTCATGCCAGACAGACCTAGTTATGAAGAACCCCTCCACTGTAGTAACTTCCTCCAGTTCATACATTCATGAGTGCGGGGTACATATGTAAATATCCACATGCAGACGTCCACATGCACTGCCTCAAGGGCTGGGGAAGACTAAAAGTTATTATTCATCACATGCAGTTGGGTCTCTGGTGGACTCATCCAAATCACTCCATAGGAGAGCTACTGGCTCAATCCCTTCTCTCTGGTCTCTACCTTTACAGAGACCAAGAACCCTAAATCATAGACTTACATCTGACTTTTAAAAGTAAGAGGCATCATTCTGGACAGTGTAGCTCCTTGGATAAAGTGTTGGCCACACACCAAAGGGTTGCAGGTTCTAGTTCCCTTGTGCGGGAGGCAGCCAATTGATGTCTCTCATTCTCTCTCTTTCTTCCCCCTCTGTTCTCTCCCCTCACCACTCTTTCTCCCGCTCTTTCTAAAAATCAATGGAAAATCCTCAGGAGTGATAAAAATAAAAGCAAGAGGCCTTTGTCTGAGGATGAGGGTAAGCAAAATGGGAAAAAGGATGAAGCTAGGAACACCCAACACTTTAGGGGAAATTGTCACTTCAAGAGGCTGAGGGACCTAGGGCAGGATCTGTGGTTGAAGGATGGTTGAAAGTGGAGGTATGGTGCCACACATGGCTTGGAGTTCCTAATAACAAGGGTAATACAGGAACAGGAAGTGATAATTTGGGGGACAAGGAAAGAGCAATATGAAAAAATACACACCTGGGATTTTTACTTTTTTTTTTTTGCCTCTTTATAGTGTCACTAATTCTATCTCTGCATGTTCACACATATTCTCATTCAGTAAAGCTTCAGGCAACCAGAATACACATTTTTCCTCACAACCTCTCACATAAGCATTGCTGCACTAGACTGTAAACATTTTTCACTCACATTTTTTGTTTTTAAACATTTTGAAAGTATATTTTATTAAATTTATTGGTGTGACATTGATTAATAGAATTATATTGGCTTCAAATGTGCAATTCTATAATACATAATCTGTATATTGTACTAGAGGCCCGGTGCATGAAATTCGTGCACTTTGGGGGGGGTGGTGTCCCTCAGCCCAACCTGCGCCCTCGTAGTCTGGGAGCCCTCAGGGAATGTCCGACATCCTTAGCGCTACCATAGAGGTGGGAGAGGCCTCTGTCACCACTGCTGCACTCTCCAGCCATGAGCCCAGCTTTTGGCTGAGTGGCGCTCCCCCAGTGGGAGTGCACTGACCACCAGTGGGTAGCTCCTGCATTGAGCATCTGCCCCCTGGTGGTCAGTGCGTATCATAGCGACCGGTCATTCTGCTGTGTGGTCTATTTGTATATTAGCCTTTTATTATATAGGATTGTGTGTTCACCACCCAAATTCAAGTCTCCTTCCATCATTACTTATCCCCCTTTACTCTCTTCTGCCTCCTCCTGCTGTACTTCCCTCTCCCTTTGGTCATCACCATACTCTTCTGTGTCTATGAGGTTGTTTTTTTTTTCTTTGCTTAATCCCTTTACCTTTTTCACCCAGCCTTACCCCCAACCCCTCTCCCCTGACAGCTGTCAGTCTGTTCTCTGTATCAGTGAGTCTGTTTCTTTATTTTGTTAGCTTATATGTTTATTTCATATTTAAGTGAAATCATGTGGTACTTGTCTTTCATTGACTGGCTTATTTCACTTAGCATAATATTCTCCTGGTTCATCCATGATGTCACAAAGGGTAAGTTTTCCTTCATTTTATGGCCTAGTAGTAGACCATTGTATAAATGTACCATAGCTTTTTTTTCCATCCATCTACTCAGGGGCACGAGAGTCCGGTGCATGAATTCATGTACGGGTGGGGTCCCTCGGGGTGGCCTGTGGAGATCAGGTCCCAGCTCGTGCCCCCAGCCTCACAGCCCTGCAACCCCGCCTGGCACCTGCCTTGGTCTTGTGCCACCTGCTCACTTGCTCCACCATCCCACCATGGTCCCCCTCTCGTTGGGGCCAGCAGCACCTCCATTGCCACCTGCTGCCAGCACCGCTGATGCCTGCCATGTTCCACGCTGCCCCTGGTGGTCAGCACACATTATAGCAAGTGGTCAAACTCTCAGTTTCCTGGTCAAATTCCCAGTTGAACGACCACCCAAGGGGATAATTTGCATATTAGCCTTTTATTATATAGGACTAGAGGCACGATGCACAAAATTGTGCAAGGGGCTCGGCCCTCACAGCTGCAGTGGCTGCCTCAGCCCTCCCAGCCCCAGCTTAGTTTGGAAGGTCATCTGGCTGTCCAGCCTAATTAGCACATTATGCTTTTATTAACTTATATAATAAAGATGTAATATGCAAATGGTCATTATGTAATGACCAACCAAGTAATGACCGGATCACGGGTCAGCAGGAGGATGGGACAGCGAGCTACAAGTGGCTGGCGGAGAGCTACAGGAGGGCGGCAGCGAGCTACTGGTGCACGGATTCGTGCGCAGGGCTACTAGTTATAGATAATGCTACAATGAACATATTGGGGTATACACTGAGTGGCCAGATTATTATAACCACCTGACATTTGTAGGCAAATTAGCTATAATTTCCCACTGAAGTTGCTAGAGGGCCAGACCATTATGAACATCTGAATAGCACAACATACCTAAGAATCGTTGCTGATCAAGTTCATCCTATCATGTTGATGGCATATCCCAATGGAGATGGCTTCTTCCAACAAGACAATGCGCCATGCCATGGTGCTCGTATTGCGCAGGAGTGGTTTCAAGAACATGAGGGAGACTTTACCTTGCTTAGGTGGCCCCCACAATCACCAGATCTCAATCCAATTGAGCATTTGTGGGACGAAGTTAAAAGAGCCATCAGGCAGCTGGCTTTCAACATCTCGTAGAATCAATGCCAAGAAGAATTGCCGCAGTATTGAAGGCAATAGGTGGCCCAACGAAGTACTGATGGGGTGGTCTTAATAATCTGGCCACTCAGTGTATATTCTTTCAGATCAGTGTTTCAGGTTTTTTCAGATATATTCCAATAAGGAGTTGCTGGGTCCTAAGGCAGTTCCATTTTTAATTTTTTGAGGAAACTCCATACTGTAATTTATTTTTTTATGCAATTGTAAATCGGATTGTTTTCCTAGTTTCTCTTTCTGATAGTTCATTATTGGTGTATAAAAATGCAACTGATTTTTGGATATTTATTTTGTATCCTGCTACTTCACTGAATTTATCAGTTCTGGTAGCTTTTTGGTGGAATCTTTAGGGTTCTCTATATACTGTATCATGTCATCTGCAAATAATGACGGTTTTACTTCTTCCTTTCCAATTTGGATACCTTTTATTTCTTCTTGTTTGATTGCTGTGGCTAGGACTTCTTGTACTATGTTGAATAAGTGGTGAAAGCAGACATGCCTGTCTTGTTCCTGATCTTAAGGGAAATTATTTATACTTTGTCCATTGAGTATGATATTGGCTGTGGGTTTGTCATATATGGCCTTTACTATGTTGAGGTATGATCCCTCTATTCCCACTTTGTTGAGAGTTTTTAATCATAGATGGGTGCTAGATTTTATCAAGTGTTTTTCTGTATCTTTTGATAGGGTCATGTGATTTTATCCTTCATTTTGTTTATGTGGTGTATCACGTTTACTAATGTGCACATATTGTGCCAATTTTGCATCCTCAGAATAAATCCCACTTGATCATAGTATATGATCTTTTAAATGTATTGCTGGATCCGGTTTGCTAATATTTTGTTGAGGATTTTAGCATCAGTGTTCATCAGGGATATCTGCCTATAAATTTTCTTTCTTTGTAGTGTCTTTACCTGGTTTTGGAATTAGGATAATGCCAGCCACGTAAAAGAGCTCTTGAATTTTTTTGGAATAGTTTGAGAAGGATAGATGTTCTTCTTTGAATGTTTGGTAAAATTCACTTGTGAAGCCATCCGGTCCAGGACTTTTGTTTGTTGGGAGTTTTTTTTTTTTTTTAATTATTGCTTCAGTTTTTTGTTGTAATCTGTCTATTCAGCTTTTACGGTTATTCCTGATTCAGTTTTGGAACCTTGTATGTTTCTAGGAATTTATCCATATCATCCAAATTGTCCAATTTGTTGACATATAGCTGTTCGTAATATTTACTTATAATCTTTTGTATTTCTATGGAGTTGGTTGTTACTTCTCTTTCATTTCTGATTTTATTTATTTGGGACTTCTGTCTTTTTTTTGATGAGTCTGGATAAAGGTACATCAATCTTGTTTATCCTTTTAAAGAATCAGCTTTTGGTTTCATTGATATTTTTTTTATCTCTGTCATTTTTTTTCTCTTTATTGATTAAGGTATTACATATGTGTCCTTATTCCCCATGTCTCTGTCATGTATTTCTGCTCTAATCTTTATTATTTCCTTCTACCTACTTTGAAATTTGTTTACTAGTATTGTTCTTTTTGTAGTTCCTTCAGGTGTAAGTTTAGATTGTTTATTTGAGATTTTTCTTACTTTTTTATTATAATGATGGAAAACATAAAAATTTCCATCTTTTTTCCCATTATAGTTCACATTCAATATTATTCTGTATTAGTTTCAGGTGCACAACATAGTGGTTAGAAAATCATATACTTTACAGAGTGGTCCCCATAATATTTCAAGTACCCCCCCCTGGCCTGTACATAGCTATTACAATATTATTTTTTTCCTCCATTGACCTCTCTCCGGCCACTCCCACCCCCCAGCAAATGCTCTCATCCCCCTGGTGTCTGTGTCCATTGGTTATGCTTACATGCATGAAT